AGACAATAGCTCCTATTCTAGCTTGCATATTTAATGATTGTGTTGACTGTGGTGTTTTTCCTGACCTCATGAAATACAGTAAAATAACTCCTTTGCATAAAACGGGAAGTACATCAGACCCCACAAACTTTAGGCCAATTTCTGTGCTACCCACCTTTAGTAAAATTTTCGAAAAAATCATGTTAGATCAAATGCAATCACATTTTAATAAATATAATATACTTCACTGTAAACAATTTGGTTTTACACGGGGTCGTTCAACAACCGATGCCGGTGTTGAACTTATACAACAAATTTTTGACGCCTGGGAGAACTCGCAGGACGCTCTAGGTGTGTTTTGCGACTTGTCCAAGGCTTTTGATTGCGTTTTTCATGAAACATTACTCAGGAAACTCCACCACTATGGATTTAGAGATACTGATCTGGATCTTATTGCGTCATACCTGATAGATAGGATTCAGAGGGTTGACATTAACGGCAATAAGTCTGCGGGTTCGCCGGTTAAAATGGGTGTTCCGCAGGGCTCAATCCTTGGTCCTTTCTTATTTTTAATTTATATTAATGACTTACCTTACTACGTTAGAGATAAGCATGAGATAGTATTGTTCGCGGATGATACATCACTTTTATTTAAACTCAAACGTAAGGAAACAGTTATTGACGACGTGAACAGTTGTATCTCTAAGGTAGTCCACTGGTTTAATGTTAATAATTTATTACTAAATGAAGGAAAAACGAAATGTATTAAATTTGTATTACCTAATGTAAAACAGGTAAAAACCAGTGTGAATGTAAAGGATAGGAATATGGGCCTTGTAGACACCACAGTATTCTTAGGGATTACTTTAGATTCTAAGCTTCAATGGGGCCCACATATTGATAAATTGTCAAATAGACTTAGTTCTGCAGCATATGCCGTAATGAAGATACGCCAGTTAACGGATGTAGATACGGCCAGATTAGTATACTTTAGTTATTTCCATAGTGTAATGTCGTACGGAATTTTATTGTGGGGAAATGCCGCCGACATTCAAACTATTTTTGTGCTGCAGAAGAGAGCTATTCGATCAATTTATAATCTTAAAGTTAAGGATTCCTTAAGAGATAGGTTTAAAGAATTTGGTATAATGACGGTCGCATCACAATACATTTACGAAAATTTATTACTTGTAAGAAAAAATATTAATTTATTTCTTAAAAACAGTGATGTTCACACACTTAATACAAGAAACAAAAATAAACTAACTTTACCTGCTACTAGGCTTCACAAAATCAATAATTCATTTAAAGGTCTTTGTGTTCGCTTATACAATAAAGTCCCAAGCAATATCCAAGAGTTAAGCATAAATAAATTCAAAGATAGTATAAAAAAAGCACTTATTAAAAAAGCTTATTACAAAGTGTCTGATTATATTACAGACAAAAATGCTTGGGTTTAAACTGTTCCAATCATTCCAACAGGTTTTCTATATTAAATAAATCATGATTGTATTGACGTTGTAACAACATAATGATTTGTAAATGTTGTTACATTATGCTTTTAATGTTGTGGAGTTTTTTTCGCTCGTTTTTCTCCGCAGCTAAAAAATATGTCCAATAACGAGTGGTAGGGAAAAAAAATGTTTGGACGATTCAAAAGTGTTGTACTATACATCCAATTTGAATAAAGATATATTGATTTCTGATTACCAGGCCGCCAAGAAAGCGTTAAAGGAGGAGATACTGAGGTCAAAGGAAAGGGCGTGGCAGGAGTTCCTTGCCGACCTCGACAGAGACCCGTGGGGGCGCCCGTATCAGATGGTTAGGGGCAGAATGGGCTCCTTCCACCGAGTCCTTCGATCCGGAGCTCCTCGAGAGGGTCGTGTCGGCCTTGTTTCCGGAGTCAGTGCCAGAGATACGACCACTAATGACCCCTCGAGACGTAGCGGACCCGGATCGAGAGCCGCCGCCTATAACAGCGGAGGAGTTGGAAAAGGCCTTGGACAGGCTTCGTGGAAAGAAGAAAGGCCCCAGGTCCGGACGGCGTACCGGGCCGTGTCCTAGCAAGGCGAGCATTTAGTCTCAGTCATGGACTCGTGCTTGCGGGAGGGCCGGTTTCCGGTCGCATGGAAACGGGGCAAGATCTGCCTCCTCCATAAGAGGGACCGGCCACTTGACTCCCCGTCGGCTTATCGACCCGTGGTCCTGCTGGATGAAATCGGTAAAGTCTTTGAGAGGATTCTCGCAGACCGAATCATCCAGCACTTGGACACCGCGGGTCCTAACATGGCCGGGAGCCAATTTGGCTTTAGGAGAGGTCGCTCCACAATGGATGCGATCACGGAGGTGAAAAGGGTGTCACAGGACGCTGTGCGCAAAGGGGAGAGAGTTATTGCGGTGTCCCTTGACATTCAGAACGCATTCAACTCTCTCCCCTTTGAGGTGATCAAGGTGGCCCTACGCTACCATGAGCTGCCCGCATACCTCGTAAAGGTAATCGAAGACTACCTAGAGGAGCGGGTGGTTCTGTATGTTAGGGTTGATGGCGTGCTGGTGGAGAGGAACATGGTCCGCGGTGTTCCACAGGGGTCGGTCCTCGGGCCGCTCTTGTGGAACATGGGCTACGACTGGGTTCTTCATGGCGTCTTTAGGCCCAGGATAGGGGTAATCTGCTACGCGGACGATACTCATATCCTGGCCCGAGGGAGGGACTACGGGGAAGCCAGTCGGATGGCCGGGGTGGGGGCGGTCATATTAATGACCAGGATCTGGCGACTAGGGCTTGACGTGGCGGTCTCTAAGACGGAGGCCTTAATTTTCCATGGCCCACAGGCCGGGCCGCCACGTGGGGCTAGAATCTGGGTGGACGATCTACCGGTTCAGCTAAAACCGCACATGAGGTAATTGGGGCTAGAGCTTGATGGTAAGTGGCGGTTTGACCACCAGTTCAGGCTTCTGGGCCCGAAGCTGGTTAGTGCGGCGGCGGCTTTGGGCAAGATCATGCCGAATGTGGGTGGCCCCGGTAGCAGTTGCCGGAAACTGTTCGTTGGTGTGATAAGGAGTATGGCCTTGTACGGTGCACCGGTGTGGGCTGATGCCCTCAGTGTGGCCACCCGTGCAGCACGGGCGTATCGTACGACGTCATACGAGGCGGCGTGTGTTATCGCCGGGATGCCCCCCTGGTACCTGGAAGCGCAAGTGCTTGCGCAAGTGTACCAGGGGAGGGTCTCGGCGATAGCGAGAGGGGAGCGTGCCACTATTGAGGAGGTGGCGCAGGTGCATAGGGAGGCAAGAGAGGTGCTGATGGAGAATTGGCTGGGGCGTCTCGGCAGTCCGACGGCGGGCGTCAGGACGGTTGAGGCGATCCGTCCAGTTCTCAGGGAGTGGGTTTCCAGACGGTCGGGGTCGCTAACCTTTCGTCTGGTGCAGGTGCTTTCCGGGCATGGATGCTTTGGAAGGTACCTGCATCAGATACAGAGGGAGGCGGACCCCTCGTGCCACGAGTGCGGTGATGCCGTGGACACAGCTCAGCACACCCTGGAGGTGTGCTCGGCGTGGACTCGGCAGCGCGGCACTCTGATTTCGGTCCTGGCAACGGACCTCTCACTGCCCAGCGTGGTCAAGGCCATGCTGGAGAGTGACAGGTCCTGGCAGGCGATGGTGGCTTTTTGCGAAGACACCATTTCGCAGAAGGAGGCTGCGGAGAGAGTCCGCGAGGAACAGGCCCTCGTTGGCTCTCTCCGGAGCAGAAGGGGGGGAAGAAGGAGGAGAAGACCAGCGCATCTCTTGCCACCCTAGCACGGGGGATGGCCTTATTGAAGGCCGCGGGGGGGAGAAAAGGTTCTTTTCAGGGCCGGGGATTGCTGAGTCCCTTTAGGGCTCAGAGCGGGGAAACGGCCCTTTTCAGGGCCAGGGGGTAGGAGCATCACTCCACAGTGATTCTTAGCAATCACTGCTAGTGGCTGGTCGATGCTCAAAAGGCCCTCTTCAGGGCCAAGGGGGGACGAGAGAGGGCCGGAGAGAACTACGCTCTCCCTCCCACTCTCATGAGGGCCGCGAGTCTGTCCTGAGGGGGCCAGGCTTGCATTGCACAAGCTCTCTGGATGTTGATGCCCCTAATACTCCGGGGCATGTTCATCGGGGCGGGTCCGCTTGCGGACAATCACCTTGCGGGTGGGCGGACTATTCGGAAACGGATACCGCCACATCACTCGCACTCCCGGTGCAGGAGTATTGGCTAGTTTTTACGGTCGCCCTTGTGGCGGTCGCCTTCTTGGCGAGGGCCCCGCTTGCTTCTCGGAGCACTTGTGTTCCCTGAAGCGGCGGAGAGGAGTCCCCGATAGCTTCGTCCGCAACCCTCGGTTGGCGAAGTATGCGTAATGCATTTTCTAGATATTAAAAAAAAAAAAAAGAACACGTGGCCTGCCGGCATGCGGCACTCCCGGAGTGCAACCCGTCGTTTTTTTTTCTATGTACCGGAACGATGGGGTATTTTGATATGTTATTTTTAATTAAGTTTTGAAGAATTGTACTCACTTTCAGCTTGATGTGAATTTATGTACCTTCACTCTTATTTTTCTGTCTAATTTGACTGGTCTATATCTTCAAAAGCTAGTATTCCAAACATATTTATTTATACATATAAATAAAAATAATATTTGGAAAAGCAGGCCAGTACTTCAATCGTAATAAAAACAAAGAATGAAGTATACAATATTTATAAAATAACTAGCTGACCCAGCGAACTTCGTACCGCTATAAATAAGGATGAAAATTTAGGGTTGTGTGTATTTTTGTATGATGTATCATAAAAAATAAAAAGAAAAGATTTTGTCAAAAACAAAAATTAAGGGCATTAAGGGGGATGAAAAGCAGATGTTGTCCGATTCTCAGACCTACCCAATATGCACACAAAATTTCATGGGAATCGGGAAAGCCGTTTCGGAGGAGTTTAACCACAGACACCGCGACACGAGAATTTTATAGAAGTCAACAATAAATGTTGATTTTGAAATACTTACCTTGGCGTGGTATTTCTCTATTGAGGTGGCTATCGCAATATCCAACTCTCCAACTAGAAGCTTTGAAAAATAGTTTTGGAGGTTGGTCTTTATGACGCTGGCTTTGTCCCAGTTATGTTTATCCTCTAGACATTTCAGCAGCTGGCACGGCATCTGAGCACAGCATCCACCGAGCTCAGACTGCAACCCTCCGAATAGATCCGACAGTAAGTTTGTTAAAAGAGTGGTACGAAGCGAAGAACATGAACAAGATTCCTGCAAAAGAAAAGGTAATCAACATCTAACCGTTGAATTCTTCGATCCTGCAAATTTTTAGTACAATAATGTTGTAATAACTAGTTTGCTATAACTATTATACTCTTTATTGTACACAAAAATTGTAAGATACAAAACATAAATATGTGAGCAAAGGAGGGCTTATCTCTAAGAGAGATTTCTTCCAGCCAACTGTAGTGTTTGTTTTTAAACAGAGCGTGACACTGACACACGTAGGACAGCTGTTTTGTCTATGATAGCGAACCGCTTACGTCAGCGTAGCTGTCAAACTTCATTGATTCGGTTGGTAGCCTTGAGGGAAGAGTCGATTTTTCTATTCGACTAAAATATTCGCCTTGAGACTTATAAAAAAAAAGTAATCAGGCAGTGAATCTCTGTGGGGGCGCGTGGATGAATGGATGGAGTTTGACAGTTGTTGAATTTTGAATAGTCTTTCCCAGATCGATTTGAGTTCCTGTTCGGGCGCCACTTGTGATGTTAGATTCTCCTCCACGGCCCTCTTCTGAACTCACTCAGAGCACCGGGGGAACAATGAAAGAAAACCAAAAAATTAAGATAATGTTATAAGTATATTTTATCCACTTTAGATACCAAAGCATAGGAATTCAGTAGTTCTAAGTTATTGCTTATATAAATCAACAAGCCTAACTATGTTTATTATTTATATAATAACTATGTTTCACTAATTATAAATATCTAAGCTGAATACAGTAGTTCAAAGTTAATGTGTATATAAACCAACAAGTTGTCATGAAAGGTTATAATTATATGAATATCAGACATTCATAACACTTTACCATGTACTTACATGAATTCTCAACTATATCTAATATATTTTATCCACAAATACCACATAGAATACCACACTGAATAAGCTATTTAGTGGATTTCAGAGGTTCTACGGCTCGTTTGATCGATATTGGTGACAAACTTAGTTAATTCTAGTTCTCAGTGAGATAACCAGTTATATAGATATATGTATATATATGGAAATGGGTAAGTCGGGGTCCAACCTCGCCTGGTGGTTCTTCTCCACGCTCACCCGGGGTTAGTAGAGAAATACCTTGATTATGATAGGTTTAGCTGTGTATAATCTGTCTGCTGTTACGGCCGGGTTACATAAAACCGGAGAGCGGCTGGCAAATAAACTCCCGCGTCCCTTCTGGTCCGTGTACAGAAAAAAAGTCTCCTTGTTAGTCCTCCAGTATTTCTTGAGGGGAACGTACAAGCCTGAAGTTCACATTGAAAAAAAATGATCAGATATGGGGAAAACACATAGATTACCACATCTGTAGTGGGTGAGGGAGTGAGGGATATTCACGGTCAATGTTTACACTTTAAAATTTGAATCACTACATGACTGGGCCCGTCCCACCGGGTTGAAGGAAATCAATTCCATGTTCTAGTGAACATATACACTAACTTGACAAGAATGATTAGGTATATTTGATGACAAGAATCACTATATTGTGCATAATGCAGTTCAATTAGTGCTAGGAGAATAAATATGAGGTCGGATGATAGCTTACCGTTCGAAATATGAAACTATCCGTAAGTATTTGTTTCCTATCACAAGTTACCGCCTTATTATTGCAACGCCTTGCGAAGGTTCGTGTTCGTCCACCTACGATACAGAATATCAACAGAAAGGTTATTTTTCACAGCCCAAACTTGCAGATTATGTAGGAAAAAAGAGTTACTCCAATATACCTGTGAAATTCAGTTCGGTTAGCGACTCCGCGCTTTTTCCGCCAATATCCTTCAGGATATAAACTTTTCGGATCTATTTCACGACTCCGACGACTATAATATGCCTTTTAATATACTTTGGGCAGAAGAAAAGATGAAAAGTTAACTGTACCACAAACAGATTGTGAAATTTTAAATGTTGTTTTGACAATTGCTCATAGATGATAGACGGGTCGTCCACTCCCAAACATGTGTCTATGATTTGTTTCCCACTTCAACTGAAGGCAAAGGCCACAGTCAAACAGACAGCCGCCGCATTCGAGACGAACCGAAGAATAAACTCAAAACTATATACCTACGCTCGCCGTAAGCTGAGGAAAAGGGAATACCTACCCAAATCAGCGAGGAAATTCAATTTCGAGTAAAATTCAAAATCGATTAAAAACAGCACCCGATAAGGAGGACTCAAATCGATCTGGGAAAGACTATTCAAAATTCAACAACTGTCAAACTCCATCCATTCATCCACGCGCCCCCACAGAGATTCACTGCCTGATTACTTTTTTTTTATAAGTCTCAAGGCGAATATTTTAGTCGAATAGAAAAATCGACTCTTCCCTCAAGGCTACCAACCCAATCAATGAAGTTTGACAGCTACGCTGACGTAAGCGGTTCGCTATCATAGACAAAACAGCTGTCCTACGTGTGTCAGTGTCACGCTCTGTTTAAAAACAAACACTACACAACCAAGGTTTAGTGAGAGAAAAAAGTAAGCGGGTGTAGAGCTGTGCACTAAGTACTTACTTGCAGATTATAAACCTATCTAAGACTACATACATAAATATATATTCATATGTATATACACAAATACTTACAATAAATATATACATACACACATACATATATAAAATAATAAATACACATTACATGAAATTATGTTAAGATAAAACAAAGAGTGGAATAAATAGACAGCTAAAAGTGTGAATTTATTTTCAGAAAGTGCTCTTTGACTTTTGCTTTAAAAGAGACAATAGAAGGACAGTCTTGAATACTTGAGGGAAGTCTGTTCCAGAGTAAAGCAGAACGAACAGAAAAGGAATGGCAAAAGAAGTTGGTATTACTTTTTGGTAGTTCAAGTGTCTTCGTGTTGCAAGGTCTTGCAGAGAAGTCTTAGGACGAGAAGGAGGAGGAAGCGTTTTGAAACGGGAAACTAGGTAATGAGGACAACTAGGATCTTTGAGGATTTTAAACAAGAATGATAGGATATGCATATCATGTCGAAGACGAATGGGAAGTCATTTCAATTGAGAGCGAAAAGCAGAAACTCGGTCATATTTACGCAATCCGAATATGAAACGAATTGCAAGATTTTGGAGACGCTCTAGATTATTCAATTGATCTTCAGTTACATTCTAGTAGCAAATATCGGCGTATTCGAGAATGGGGAGAAGGAGTGATTGCGCCGCCATAATTTTGGTTTTGAAGGGAAGAAAAAATTTAAGCCGCTTGAGGGAGTGAAATGAGTAGTGAATACGTTTACTGAATTAACTAATATGTGGGGACCATGAGACCAAACGAAGCAGGTCCAGTTTTGAATGGATGTTAGATTAGGAATCTAAAATCTTTAAAAAAGTAATTAGATTCTATTAATGGGTATGGTCTACAATGACATACGTTCACACGGTTTTTCACTTAGCTTTAGCCGTTGACAGTAGCTAGTTCAGTAAAAATGAAAAGTAAGACCGGTATTCTATATAGATACAAAAAAAGTCCTCTGTAGTGCGACAAATCCTAATGTTCTACATATATAATCACATAATGTAAAATCTTTACACGCAAATATTAGTGGTTGTATAGACAAAACCAACTATTGTTTATTTTTTACCGAGAATTTTTCTTCCGGCATACACTTGCATAATGCGACCAATGACGGAGTCCGCTTTACTTCGACTTCTGCATCCACCGGCAACTTGCACTGACACTCCATAACCTTTTCCTTGAGCTCGCGCAACTGCTCTCTCTTCTTGTTTAACTCGTCCATCTTGTTTTGCGTACCCTTATTGCACAGAGCCTGACACCCTTCCAGGTCTTCTATTATTTCCATTTTTTCTCGTCTTAGTTGTTCCAGCTATGACCAACACATAATCATAAACTTATAGATGTCATATGTATAGAAATATCGAGCCATGACGCCGACTCAGAGCAGATTGTGTTGGGTGCTAACTACTGCAGATGTAGCCGGGACTAGTAGCTATACGTAAAAGTGCCTTTCGCAACTCGGTGGGGCTGGAGATAATTTTATTTTTGGTAAACAATTAAATAACCGGCCATTGAGAAAGTTGCTTTAACCTGTACGAATACAGGCGGAACACGCTAACCACTGCGCCGATGATGACGACGAGTTGCTGATAAGAGCAATATGTAACATAGTTTATTTAATGCTTATTGCTATAAATTAGTAAACAGCGCATTTCATTGTTAGCCAGTCAACCAGTCAGAATCTCGTATATATTTGTTTTTTACTTTCGTGGTCACTAAAATTATAATCATTGATTCTCGAATCTCTACTTTATCTACCCTCATCATACTACACCTACACTAGTAACTTTCCTCACTGGTGAAAGTATATCAACTGTTACATTATTTTTTAACAGCAATAATGACTCCAAACCACTACCAGGTGTGGCGTAGCTATAAAATAAAATGCTATGGGAGTAATTTGTCGTTCTGGATTTATCACATCTTGGTTTGATGATCTGAGAACTCCCTTGTATTGTGGCGTCCATTGATGTAGGTAGAAACGTTTACTGCATAATACACAGTTCAATAATTAATAAATGTTCTGCATACCTCTTCCTTTATAAGACCATTACGCTCGTCTTCTTCAAGGAGTCGTGTAGATACAGTGGTGATCTGATCCCGCAGAGCGCCGAGTTCAGCATGTATGGTGCGCTCTGCCTCATAGGTCAAAGCACGAGCAAAGTCTACTTCATTCTCCATGGTTTGCAGTCTACCACGGACCTGTTCCTCCTTAAACTGGAAAACGAATTGTCATTGGATAGCGTGAATTAACTCAAGATTCATGACACTTAGGTTAGTACTACATGTACTGACTGATTCCACGATTAGTCAATAACATCTTTGAAGATTATGTCAGGAGCACAACAGTGGCGGACTAACAGGGGGGCGGAAGGGGCGGCCCGCCCCGGGCCCCCGATCTTGGGGGCCCCCAAATGCCTCCGCGTTACCCTGATCAAATCCTAAACAAGACTTTAAAAATGTGCTTAGTACCTACATAATTTCATCAAGATCAAAACACTACAGTAATCTAGACCTTTTCGCGGTACAAATATTTTTTTAACTTTGCTGAACGCGTCCAATACGCTGGGGGAATTCCCGTCTTTGTAGCGGGTACTTCCTCAGAAATCCCTGAATGAATGAAGTGCAAATAATTTAGGGTGTATTCCGAAATATACACCAGTACGCTGGCCAGCGGTAATGACGTCATGATTTCGACGCCATATTGACAAAACTACTACTACACCAGTGCAATGTGGCGTCGAAGTCATGACGTCATTACCGCTGGCCAGCGTACTGCTTTATATTTCGGAATACCACCCTTACTCTTTTACGCACACATTTACATTCACTACATTCTATTTAAGTCTAACAATATTTGCGGTCTACAAAAATGACTCTGGATACAGGAATCACCGAACTAAACGCCTTGAATAAGTATTTAGGTGGATCATCAACATCAATAAACCAGGAAAAGTGAAGGTAAAAAGAAAGATGCCGGGTGAATCAGGTCATGATGCTGAATTATCAATTCAAGCAGAAATACGTCGGTCAATGTATGAATGCACAGAACGTTTTATACAAGAATTTTCAAATTGGGCTATTAAACAAATCAAAAATATCTTTCAAATTATTGAAACAAAGTTTATGCTAGAAGTTTCAGATGACGCTCTGGCTGTAGCAGTTGACAATCTGATACAAAGTTATGGTGAATTTGACAAGACTGGTTTTAACGAAATAAACATAAGAATCTACCTTTTTTTTTAAAGCTGGGAGCTTAATTCATTTTTGCCGCCCCGGGCCTCTGACGGGCTTAGTCCGCCACTGAAGCACAACAAAACGTGTTTTTTTTAATTTCATTATATATTTGTTATGTGCAAATTATTGGGAAACTGCACCGTGCCAATGACTGACTTCATTTTATTTTTATTCTACACATCAATAATATGTAGCGATCGTCTTAATAAAGGCGAACATCAAATAATTGTACTGTGACGACAATTACTATGACGACCAGAATATATCAGTCAACTTTAAGAATACAGCTGTTGGAGATTCTGGTCCAACTGCGTTCTCTTAGTTCGCCAAACCGTGCAGCTTCCTTACCGAGCTGCAGACGTTTACAGGTGCTGCTACACATCTCTTTACCAAATGTCTCAAGAAAATCTTACCTTTTACAAAATGATTATTAAAACAGTTTCAAGATACCTGAAGATCCCTGTCAAGCTGTGCGCTCTTACACTGCAACTCGGCAAGTTGAGCGTCGACACGTGCAGCTTCTTCGCTGAGTCTCAGTCGCTCACAAGCGCTATCACAAATTTCCTTCTCAAGGTTAGTAAGAAGCTCCCGCTCTTTCTCTGCGGCATCACCCATTCCTTTCAATTGTTTGGCTAAAGTCATGCACGCAGTTTTAAAGCCATTACGCTCTTGTATCATTTTCTGGATCTAAGAAAATATGGTTTTGATTAAACATACTGAGATTGAGAGCGTGAGGCTCTACAACAACAAAAAATATTAAAGACCACGTATTTTGAACAACAAAAAGGGAACCTAAATTATCGGACTTCTATAATAAAATAAATGTCTTTTGCCTGATATGATCGACCCGAAAAAAGTCGATCAATGACAATTACGGATGTGCGATTTTAAAATTAAATAATTACTTAAAAGTTCGCTTGTTTTAATTTATTACAACGATTAGATTAAAAAAATGAAATCATAAATAAATAAAAGTATCAAAATGATTCGTGCTAAATGTTCAGCGCTCGCGTGTTATCTTTTACCTAGGTAGTATCATTAACAAACATATTCCATTAACGGCTGTTTACCCGGGGTTTTCTACGCTATATCGAAAGCCAGTTGATCGGTGACAATAAATCGATATCCCGATATATCGGATTTCGGTTAATTGTCACCGATCAACTAGCGGCGTAGAAAACCCGTTACCCTCTCAATTGAAATTGTACTGGTGGCGCTGCGAAAGGCATCCGCCTCACGCAGGTCTCGCGACGGATTGAACGGGTCCCGCGACGGGTTGAATGGGTCCCATGACGGGTTGAACGGGTCCCGCGACGGAAAACCTGCTTTAGGCAGCCCGCTTTAGGCAGTCCGCTTTAGGCAGCGCACGCCCTCAAAACGTTTGCTATCAATGTAGATATTTACATGTTTAGTCATATCTTCCTCCTTTTCTTCAGCACTTGCGAGTCGCCTCTGATAGCCCATTTCTAAGTCTTTCCAAGCCGCCTCAGCTCTTTCAAGAAGTTCTACGCGCTGAGCTTCCCTGCGTGCTAGCCGTTGAGCTCGTGTGCGCAGTTCTGCCGTCTCCTTGTCAAGCTTCGACAATCGTTCTAAACACGCTGAGTCCATACAACAAATCTGTAAAAGATATTAGCATATTCACAGACGTACTTGATTGAAGAATAAAAGTACGAGTATATTGGTCAACATACCGCATCAATTTTATCCATTAAAGGTTGTTCTGGTTTTTTCTTGGGTTTAGGCGCACAGTGATTGCAAGTATCCATGCGCATGATAATTTTAGTTTCCACTGGCAATTTTAGTACAGGACCTACAGCGTCATGGTAGGTAGAATCATTATTGCTGATGCTAGGGCTATTGTAACTGATAAAACTGCCTGGGCTGAGACGTTTATTAATTTTATTTGCCAAAGCATTTTCTTCATCTTCTAGTTTTGGTTTGTCAACCAACTCAATATCTTTTCTTTTAGATTCAATAAATCTAAAATGAAGATAAATCATTAAAGGTCATTAGATATTAACATCGCATTTTGTTTTTACTTCAGTATAAAATACTACTAGAGCCGATATGATTTATGACCTTCTTATGCTTAGTATGACATTTAATTGGCTGTCCCGCATCTTATGAATATTTGCATGTCTAATAGCAGCATTAGACCTGCATAAACTGGGCTGAAACGACTCTCGCATTGTATAAGTCATTCAATTAATGTAAATTTAATAATTAAATACAAACACGGGACATCGAATGTTGCATGTGAACCATGACCGTTTTCATTTTACGATCAGTAATTTAAAAACAACATACTTTTTGTAATTTCGTTATTTTGTATCTCGTGTTTAGATGATGGCTATACAAAAAAAAATAAAATGAAAAATAATTAATAAGAAGATATAAAATACATAATTGTAGTAGATGAGATATATAAATCACATTTACTTCAATATACTTATCTATCCATACTAATATTATAAATGCGAAACTGTGTCCGTCTGTCTGTTACGTCTTCACGCATAATCCGCTGAACCGATTAAGATTAGAACAAATTTGGTACAGAGATCTAAGTCCCGGGATAGGAGATAGGATAGTTTTTGTTCTAAAAATCATCCTTTAAGGGGGTGAGAATTTGTATTGAAAACCAATTTATCCACGCAGACGAAGGAACCCACTAGTATAAAATATAATTATGTACTTATGTATTGTTGTTTAATATATTTGTAAAATACTTGCATACTTAGTTTATATTACATATAGTAGAACAGTAATACAAAAATAGTGGGTGTTAATTCTTTGAAAAGCGTTCACCGCGCAACTTTCGTGGCGAAATTTCATATTGTTTTTAGAAAAAAATTAATTATTTCTTTACAGATGACGCAATAATAAGATATAATATCTATGAAACATGTAAATTAATACATAATTCACCGTAATATTTAATTTAGAATTTTCGGATCTACGAAAGTTACGAAACGATCTTGCCGCTAACAAAATAAGAATAAATTTCAGCTATAATGATCTACTGCTAGTCCGATAATGCGTAGAGTAACTAGTGCCAACTCTGGTTTCGCAAGGTTGATAAAAGTTTTTTTCAAGATTAAATGAACTGCCAAAAATCATTGTATTTATGAGTTTCTGAAGATAGTTTACTACTTATTATTATATATGCGTGTATATAATAGAAACAGACAAAACTATTTTAAAGCTAAAAATAATTTTCACCATACCATGGTTAATCATTTTCGTGGGCAAATCGCCACGAAGGTTGTATCACGAAAATAAAGATAATTAACATATCTCGGTATATTTGTTGAATTTGTAGACTTATCCAAACATATTCTACATTATGAACAATTATATAAAATAATAATTAGCATTATTAAACATTGTTTAAATATCATCATTTTGACATACAAAATATACGTAAAGCTTTGCAGACCAAGAAGTTATTAAAGGTTTTTCCAAACGCGTAGAGTATGACACATGAAGAACAGCGTTTTTACTTCCGATTCCTACCTTTAAAACTTATTAAAATAAATATCCCTCATTTTTATCGTAATTGTATACAGATATAAATAAAAGTTAGGAATAACGAGTGTGTAACCGCCAAAAACGGGTCCTTGAAGAACTACCCGGGTGCCCGAGACTTCGTCTGCGTATACTTTTTTTTACCATACAAACTTCCATCCCCCTTTTCACCTCTTTGTATTTGGTTGGTTTTTGGAATAGAAACTATTATATGCAATTATATTACATATACAATAGAATATCATTGATTCTATGTCCTTACCCGGACTCAAACTATCTCTGTACCAAATTTCATCTTAGTCGGTACAGTGGTCTGTGTGTGTGCGCAGACAGACAGACTTTCGAATTTGTAACATTATTATGGATCACCTGTAAAGTATTTTAAACACTAGAATAAGAAGAAATTTTTCGGCGTAGGTTTATGAAATTTTCAATCTAGTCATCTAGAGACGAAAATTATATAATTATTGTTCTTACGAATATAGACTGTCGGTTCCGTTATGGCCGAGCTGTTGCCAAGCTAGGATCGCACACATAAGGTACTGATCTTCGGGTTCCTGAGATACGTTTACATTTGATCCTCTGGCGTTGCTGCAAAGCCGCTCCTGAGTAGCCCGAATAGCAGACTATGAAATGATAAATTGCTTTTAGTAAATAGAAGGAGCTTACACATAATAATGATACTGGTAAATACAGTACTGCCAAATTAAAAATGTGTATACAAATCTTCACTAATGGTCGTTTCATTCGGCATTTAAGTCATTGGTAACAGCTGCAACTTTGTTGTTAGCACCCACCAACCCACTTTAGACCCGTGTGCTGGGATAAGGTCGGTTCTATGTTATACTGTATTTGTTATATTTTATAACTATACCTGTAAGTCTAGAAGAGGATTCTTTTTCACTACTTTAGAAATATTCCACATAATAAGCGTTCCCATTGACGTCTGTCGAACCACTGATGGGTCATATCCGCGTACATTGTAACCCTCAAGAGTCTGGAAAAGAAATATCATAAAAATAGTGTAAAACTAGCACGTAGAGTTTGCCGTGTTTTAATTAGAACCGCATTGACGCAAATTCAAGCATTTTCTCTTAAATCATCAATAATTTATTTATTTTTGATTCAGTTTATAAACTTAATCAACCAATTCGAATGCACAATAAGCAGTTGCTTCAGAATTCTGAGTAGTCGAATAACGCATTAATTTTTCTAGCATCACGGTTCAATGTTCAATCTTTCTAAATAAGTTGTCCTTTTTTCTACCTTTATGATGTCTCACAGTAAGATAGATGATGAGCTGATACGATAGAGCTATGAAACGCGCCAACCACTTTCAACTGATCAACCTGAACCCCTGGCCCCAGGAACTTTGGTAACCCTACTAACTGTATGAATGCAGCATCACCGAATAGGTTTTGAATATTGTAATGTATCTTTATAGAAGTCTTGTGTTTCAGCAGTTTAATAAATTATTAGAACGCGTTCCCACTATGTCGTGACTAATAATTTTTCGTTGGACGAGCATCGTATCTAGCTATTCCCATTAGATCATGACGACATTTTTACGCTTCACTACGGCGTGGCTACGATAGATAGTCGCAACAACGACGATTTGTTGTCACGTTTTCGATGTGTAACATCTTTCCTCTCGCTTTCCTGCAATTTGTGGGAGTGATTTCGTGAAATGGGACGGAAGTGTATAACAGGAAGTTGCTATTTGATTTGATTTTAGAACGTATGTTATTCTTTTTGTAGTAGGTTTTATTTCTTATTTTACTAATATAAGGTTAGGTTTCAAATGTTACAAATCATACGCGACTACTGTAAGGCTCGCTCGTTTTTTGAAGTAACAACGTCTTATAATTCGATGGAGCCGGCTGTACGCACGAAAAAACATGACTCATGCAGCGTTACCTCAAGCGACAAAGAGGCACAATCGGCCACCGCATTCGGCAGCGTTCGACATCTGCCTATCTCCTACTTGAGTGAGCGACGTGTCCGCACGGACAGCTGCTATACAATAATACAATTACATGTTTTCGTCAAGTATGAAGTGCAGTGAAAAGTGAATGTGGTGTCAATTGTTTATAACAACGATAAATGCGGCGATAAAGGTCAATGATATTTACAACTTTTAATCACACATGTTTAAAAGTTGTAAAACAATTGCTCAAAGCACATTCATATTTGTAAAAACTATGTATATTGTAAAAAAACGTTGTCACGTTTAACTATCGTCAGTAAACCGACTTTACAGACAACCTTTTTTTTTCGTTTTACGACTGTCGGTATAGTGGTTCCTATTGACTTATCAGTCAGTCATCACAGCAAAAATAAGTCGTGGATAACAGTTAATCGTATCGTCCTATAGGTGAAAACCTCCATTAAAATTTACAAGCCACGACGTTTTATACGACTCGATAATCTGCTGTCTTTAGAAACACTAACATAAATGCTAGTTTTGTAGTTTTTAACGACAGGAATGGAAACATAGTCTGTGACTAAGATCACCCGGTAACAATAATTTTAAAAGTAGGATACGATAGTACCAAAAAATATGGCAGACTAGCGGCCACTCGCGACTTCGGCCGCGTTTACTATAGTTTTTTTGAACAAGCCTCAGATACCTTACATGTTTCCGAGATAAAAAGTATCCTATGTCTCAATCCAGGTCATAAACTATATCTGTACCAAATTTCATCCAAATCCGTTCAGTAGTTTTTACATGATTGAGAGTAAGAAACATACAAACGTTCTCATTTATAATATTAGTAGGATTCTACTCTCACTGTATGTCACGGTTTTACATAAAGATCAACTCAGACTGTAAATTGTCAAAAATAATGGTTAATTTTTGCAAACTTAAAATAACTCTATCTTGCTTTATGGTTCAAAACCCTGTGCTACTGAGTTTGAAACATATTTGGAAGCGGTGCTTTTGCGGCAGTAAAGAGAAATAAATGTTGTTTATTTTTGTAGTTTGTAAAAACTATTGGTGAATAAACTTTAAGTAGAAAATGTATGTGTAAAAGGCCTATACTCTTTATTCCCTCTTACATTTCTATCTTAATTTTATGAGCGTACATGTAACAAGGTAGTTGTAATGTAAAAGTGTAAATAATATAATTCATTTGACAGAATTAATTGGGAAACTTATCAAATAAATAAAATGTGTGAATTATAAACGTAGCTTTATACTGTTTTCTCTTTTACCTGATCCATAATCTTTTACTTCCTGTCTCTCCTAATGAGAGAGCTTATACGTTTCACTTGAAATATATCTCCACAAAATGATTTTAACAACCTTAATAATATTATGTGTTTTAATTTTTCTATAATTTTTTACACATTTTGAAAGAATGACAGAAATTTAGACAGAAAGAAAATCATAGAGAAAATAATCATTAATTAGGTTCTTTGCATTACAGAATGAAGCTTGTTTGTTGCCTACTGGCATTTGGTATATACTAATTTTATTTAATTAAATTGTGTTACGATTCGCTGTGTTTCGCTCAAAATCCTCCTAATTCCATGGTTTTCCTGCTTACACATTGCTTTTCATGACATCATTATTAGGTAAAAATGTTATAGAGCTCTGGGAAAGATATGTGAAGAACTTTCTATGGACTTTAATCAGTTCGTTTATGCTTTGTTTAGTATTTCCTAATCTGTAATAAAAAAAACCTTGACGTGAATTACATTCAATACTAACTGTGAATACTAATAAATACGTCATATTAAGCGATTCTCAGTTGGGTTTATCCTTTTTGACGAGTAATGAATGGCGCAAATATTTAGTTGAATCGAAAACATTAACAATAGTCAGCGACATGCAAAAAACTTCGCGGAAAATTTACGAGAGAACACGCAGATTGAAGCACCGGAAATTCAGGCAGTTTTTTTTATATTCTGTAGTGCTATGTGTACTAGAATCGTGTATATCTAAAATAGTAAATTATGTTGGATGTTTATGCCAAAACAAGCGAATAAAGCAAAGAAAAAATATTTTCAAGTGCTGCTTGCGCTTTATGCAGAAAAAGATGTTGACTAGGTTTTTTAATAAAAAGAAAAAAGTCTTAATGAATATTATCCTCGAGTCATTAGAAGTTGGATCACATGACGGTCGTTATACTTGTAGGTAATTACCAGGCACTAGCATCGTCAAACTTGTTGAGTTTAGACGCGTTGAGCCGGGGATAAAAAGTGGGAGAAGCCGGCGCCCCGGCGCCACAGGCCCCGCCGCTAACGGTGCAGCCTGCCAAGTACGACCATGGTCGGGTGCTACTTATAGATGCTGCTATTTATAGACCTCGTCCTACTACCTGCCGCCTCGCTCACAATCCTGATGTGGAAGCCTCACCTTCTAATTAAATACATACATTGACATGGATTTAGAAAAAAATTAGACTTACGTATTTTAATTTATCACGAATCCCTCTCTTCATTGTTTCGTAATTGTTCGACTTCTCTTTTTCCAATTTAAAGGAAATGAATATAATGGAGATTGCTCAAATTGGCCCAAATGCAAAAAAAAATTGACATAAACGGTAATTCTGGGCGTAATTTATAATTTAATTTACAGTCATTAGATCTCAACGGACACCTTTGTATAAAATATATTTACTTTAAAAAGTGTTGCGAATTCTTGTGTAAATAGCCTTTTGTTAATATTCTCTTTTGTACATATTTATAGTTTTATAATCTTTTTGGTTTAAATGTAAGAAGTAATCTTTTTTTTGTTAATCTCTAATAATATTGTCTTTTCTTTTTTTTGCACATTATATATGTCAGCACTGGATTGAGCACTACTTATTTTTTCTCTCCTTTTAAGCTATCGAAATTTCCTTCACATTTATTTTTGGTTCTTCTCCCGTTGAATTTTAAAATATTAGAATGCTAACCAGAGCTCAATCCATGTTGCTGGCAAAGGCTCAACAAAATCCGCGAGAGGCGCCCTCAGATGTGCCTTTAGTGGGCAGGGTTGATCAGTCCCCTGTTTCGGACCTTTCTTTGGTCAACGCCACTGTTTCGCCCACAGCACACAATTCTGACCCAGCAGCACCTCTCACTGATTTTGCTTTCCCCTCTACGAGCCCCATTTCTAACAACAACATAAGTTCCAGGTTTTAATCTCAAGCGTCGGGATCTTCGCGGTCGAGAGCCACCATAAAGGCCCATCGGTTGGCCGCGGAGGCTGAACTTGCCCGACGGCAATTCGAAAAAGAGCAGGCGCTGGAACATAAGCTGCTTTCTCAACAAAAGGCTGTGGAAGAGATAGAGCTACGTGCCAGCCTTGCTGCGCTGGAGTCCGAAGACAACTGCTCGGTTAGTCGTTCTCGTACTCAATCGTGGGTCAATGACCAATTTAATCATGGTTTGGCAGAGAACCGTGATCTCCCTGCCTATAACGAGATCACACACCAGGTCCCTACTTTCCAACCATGCCATGATTTCAGTGAGCACGGCTCTTGTATTCCCCTTCCAGTTGACCCAGTGAATACGAAAGCCAATACCATCATTGCGCCCGATTTTGTTTATTCACGAAGTTTAGCTGAGCCTAGTATGGAAGTAAAAAATGTACAAAATAATTTTTCGATGCGCGATTTTACAAAACCAAATATTCCAATTCCAACCAAACAAACAAATCATTTGTCAAACCAAAACCATGAAAATACCGAACGTCAAAATTTTTGTAAAATGTTTGAAAATTCGTATAATTGTCATAATAATACCAGTTCCCATAGATGCGTTACCAAGTATAATATCGAATTGATACAATTTAGTGGTAAGCCAATCGAATGGCTCATGTTTAGCAGAACGTACCGAGATACTAAACACCTATTCTCTAATACGGAAAATCTCGCTCGCCTGCGAGGCGCTTTACGTGGCTCTGCCTTTGAAACAGTGTCATCGTTATTATACACCGCTGAGGATCCTGATCTCGTGATGGACATGCTGCAGCAAACTTTTGCGCAGCCTGAAACCATCGTATTACACGAGATGATGATCATTCGCGCTTTGCCTAGAATAAGCCATGACTTAAGAGAACTAAGTTCGTTTGCCTCCCGTATTAGAAATTGTATTGCTGTTATTATTAATTTAGATCAAAAAGAGTTTTTATATTCATTCGAGATTTTTTACACAATTTTAAACAAACTTACGCCTATTTTATACAGCCATTGGAAAGAGTTCGCATTTCGTAACGGAACAAACCGTTCTGTATCCAAACTCGAACTGCTTTCTGAATTTTTGGACATTGAAGCGCTAAAACACAGTCGATTCGGTCTCATGCTCGAATTTGCTAGGCAAACTAGGCCTTTTCCAACGACCAATAGTGTTGTTCGGCGCGATAATATACACACAATATCTGCGCGTAATATTGAAACGTGTCTTTATTGTAACAGTAGGCACAAGCTTACAGACTGCAAAATTTTTAAAAGTCTTCCACTAGATGATAAGTGGACTTTTTTACGCCAGATCAAAATCTGTTTTAAGTGTCTCAAGCCAAAGTCACATCGTTGGAAATTATGTAAGATAAAGCGCTGTGGTGTAGACGGCTGTACACGTTTTCACCATCCTTTGTTGCATCCGCCTACACCATCACCTCAAATAGCACACACCGATACACCTACCGATGCCCAACATACTTGCCCAATTATTAATGAACAAGACGAAGTTAATAAAGTCACAGACTCGAGTGCTGGCGGTGTTGTCACAGCCAACGCAACCAGATCTTTGTCCGACAGTACAGTATACTTAAAAATAGTTCCGGTCGAGGTTGGCGGACCGAACGGCAACTTTCGTACATATGCCTTACTCGACGATGGGACAACGGCAACCTTGATCGATTCCGAAGTCGCTCGCCATAATGGAGCAACGGGACCTTCGGGTTCGATCAGGGTTGACGGCGTGGCTGGCATGTCCACGCATACACCAGTACAATACGTCAGTTTTACCATCAGAGGCAAAGACAGTGCGGAACTGTTTACAGTGGATAATGCGAGGACTATTGATTCGCTTTCATCGTACACGCAAAACATTAGAAGTGAGTGTCTATCCAAATTTACTTACTTGAGTGACATTATACCGCAATTAGTTCACGAAAATGTTACGCCGAAAATTCTAGTCGGTGCAGATAATTTGTTTTTGTCTGTTACTCGGGAAATTAGGGAAGGTACTAAGAACCAACCTGTTGCAACCCGCACTGCTTTAGGCTGGGTCTTGCACGGAAAAATAAACAGTGCTTGGTTAAATCATATTTTTGTTAACAAAACCCTTCTTTCTGATAATATCAGTACAGATACTACTATGGATCAGCTTGTCAAAGAATATTTTCGTTTGGACTCGATAGGCATAGCTAAAAATAACGCATGTTACAGTGATAATGACAAACATGCTCTAAAAACTTTAGATTCAACAGTTAAACGACTTTGGTCTGGTAGGTTTGCGGTAGGCTTATTGTGGCGAAAAGAAAAATTGAACGTGCCTGATAGTTACCCTCATGCACTTTCAAGGTTTCTTGGTATAGAAAAGCGAATGGCTAAAGAACTCGATTTTAAAAAAGCTTATTTGTCGTTTATGCGAAATATACTAGATAAAGGTTATGCAGAAGAGTGTCCTAAAGACTCTTATCATGACTCTTATGACAATTCGTCACAAAACAATGCACATTGGTATCTACCACACTTTGCTGATGTACATCATCAGACAAAGAAACTTAGGATTGTTCATGAGGCCGCCGCAAAAACTGCTGGTGTTAGCCTCAACCCATTTTTGCTTCCCGGTCCGGATCTTCTGCAGTCTCTAGCATCTTTACCTCGTCACCTCTAGCACCATCATTCCGCGTTGGTATAGAAGTGGATTTGCAGAAAAGGACGTCGCTGACAGGCAGCTTCACATCCTCGCTGACGCCAGCGAGGAAGCTTATGCCTGCGTTGCATACTGGCGTTTTACATTTTCAGACGGGTCTGTGAAGCTGTCTCTTATTGGTGGTAAAGCGCGTTTAGCACCTCTTAAACCCACTTCGATACCTCGCCTTGAACTGCAGGCAACTCTCCTTGCAGCTCGGTTTGCCGATGCTATCAAATCTGGTCACAGAATTCACGTAGATTCCGTTTTATTTTGGAGCGACTCTACAACCCTGTTGAGTTGGATTCATAGTGATGCGCGGACATTTAAGCCATTTGTTGCCAATCGCGTTGGCGAAATTACTGAGATTTCCAACCCCAAGGACTGGAGATATGTGCCAGGTGGTTTAAATGTCGCTGACGACGCAACAAGGTTGAAGGATAAGGGCACTGACTTGAAGCGATGGCTCCTTGGCCCTGATTTTTTACTGCTGCCCGCTACTGAATGGCCCAAGGAACCATCAGCTCCTGAAT